CCTTTCATCCCCACTTAGATCTAATATCCTTCATCATCCCGAGCCTCGCTGACTCATACAGGTCGTGGCCTCCTGTTCTGAGGCATGGTGTGTATAATTAATCTAATTTTAGCGTTGGCAGGGTTATACTGGACAGATATTTTAGTTTTCATTCAGCTTAATGATGCGTTAAAAGATAGTGATTCCAAGGAGAAACGTTTGTTTCAGATCTTCTGCAATGTGAACATGTGCACTGCTTTCCCGATTAAGAGTCATTGGTTATATATTTAGGATATAATCTTCACATGGAAAATCTTTTCACAAATTAACTGAGAGAGTGAGGCACAAAGTAGAAAGAAAAATGAAAATAATGTACTGAAATTAAGCGTGAAAGCGAGCTAAAAAGCAGTGAGAGCCGTGCTGGAAGCATTTGTTAAAAATGGAACAAAAAAACATGATAATCCTGCAATGTTTTAAGCAATTTATGCAGAAAAATGCAAATGATTGCCAAATCTGTGGATTTACTGCTTTTTCGCCGTTTGTTGTTTGTGTTAGCACAATTTCCAAGGATGTGTGATATAGATGCTGGGTAGGAACTGAATGGTGCCAAATCACAAGAAGAAAGCATACAGGGTGGATGCCATCTCAGTAGCACCTGAATAGCCCAAACCTTTAAGAAGGAACTTATTTTTGCATACCTGATATAGTTGAACGCTCTGTTGTATGGAAGCCTGTTTGCGCCACAGGAAAAAGAAAATCCTGTAAGTCAATATAATTACTTAGCTATCTCAATATATTGACTTACTATCTCAATATATTGACTTAGCTATCTCAATATATTGACTTACTATCTCAATATATTGACTTAGCTATCTCAATATATTGACTTACTATCTCAATATATTGACTTAGCTATCTCAATATATTGACTTAGCTATCTCAATATATTGACTTAGCTATCTCAATATATTGAGTTATATATATATATTTGTTTATATGTCAAATACAGAATAAGGCACATAGACATCAATGTTCATCATATAAGCGGTACAACTTCATATTAAGGTACACAAATTAACCATCAACTAGTTGTTAATTAACATGCATATTAGCAGTATATTGGCTCTTTATTAGTCATTATAAAACACTTATTAATGCCTTATTCTACATGACCATATTCTACAAGTAATAGGCCATTAGTTGAGAGTTTTTCCTCAATAACCCTCTAATTAGACCTTATTTATTGCAAGTAAGGAAGTTGTTGTACATGAGCTTTGGTCTTAATATGCTCTCCTCAATATGTCTAAATAACTCAAAATTAGGTATTTCTATCTAAGAATATGTTCCCTATTTAAAGTGAAGTCTTGTTCATAACCAATAAGCTAGTAGTTTGACTCTAATTGACCTGAACAGGTTCCCTATTCTAAAGTTGCCTCCTCTTCACACTTTGTAAATACATTATAGCACACCACTACTGAAATTAACCTCAACAGCACATGAACAAAGTAGGCCCATGTTCAAATATCTGTTTTATTAATGAACCACTAAAGAGAGGTTCAGACACATCCCAAAACATGTCAAGTTTCTCCAAGGCTGAGAACATATATGCAGCCTGTACTTTTTAATAAAACTGATTTTTAACAGATTGTATGTATTTGTGATCATACTGTGTGACCTGCTTGTATGTACTTACACAATAGGTGTACTGTTCTCTCTATGTGTTGTACTGTCTCAGTGTGAACATAGATTAAACAGCCAGCCAAACTCTTTTGAGAGCCAGGGAATGAGCAGCCATGCTCCTTTATTGACTTATTTGCAGTCCACTGACATTTAACCGGAGTGAAACTATAAAAAAAGAAGTTACAAGGCACTTAATGATCTCATACATGCAAGTGTAACATACACAGATTACTTGTAGAATATGGTCATGGAGAATAAGGCATTAATAAGTGTTTTATAATGACTAATAAAGAGCCAATATACTGCTAATATGCATGTTAATTAACAACTAGTTGATGGTGAATTTGTGTACCGTAATATGAAGTTGTACCGCTTATATGATGAACATTGATGTCTGTGCCTTATTCTGTATTTGACATAATTGTGTCAATAAAAACATATATATATAACTCAATATATTGAGATAGCTAAGTCAATATATTGAGATAGCTAAGTCAATATATTGAGATAGCTAAGTCAATATATTGAGATAGCTAAGTCAATATATTGAGATAGCAAGTCAATATATTGAGATAGATAAGTCAATATATTGAGATAGTAAGTCAATATATTGAGATAGCTAAGTCAATATATTGAGATAGCAAGTCAATATATTGAGATAGCTAAGTAATTATATTGAGATAGCTAAGTCAATATATTGAGATAGCAAGTCAATATATTGAGATAGCTAAGTCAATATATTGAGATAGCTAAGTCAATATATTGAGATAGCAAGTCAATATATTGAGATAGATAAGTCAATATATTGAGATAGCTAAGTCAATATATTGAGATAGCTAAGTCAATATATTGAGATAGCAAGTCAATATATTGAGATAGCTAAGTCAATATATTGACTTACAGGATTTTCTTTTCCTGTGGCGCAAACAGGCTTCCATACTGTTGTGCCAGTCATTGGCCACAACAAGTAAAACTGATTTAACCTTTTCTACACAGCTGGCCTTAGATATACATATGTTGTTGGTTACAAAATTACATTACAGTTGTAGAATATGAATATCGAATACTTTGACTTTGCTTTTACTCAGCGATATTGGGTTGTTTTTATTTATCTTTCATCTTTTCCTTTGTGTTTTTTCTTTGAGAATTCATCCAGAGACCTCAAACTTAAAATCCAAATGTCTCCACTGATGCCAAGTCATTATCATTGCACTGCTAACGCTCACCACACTAATCCTGCTGCCACTTCCTCCAGACTGAGTAGAATTACCCATCTGTCTACACCATCTATAATAAAACCGAGCTTAGTCATTGTGAGCTTAGTGACAGAAAAGCAAAACAATGTCACATTTGACAAAAGCATACTTGAGGTTCGTGGTCTGGGAACTTTCTGCGATACAACTTTTCATACAGGGCAGAACATATATGTTATCCCATACAATACACAGGATGTACAGGAGGGAAAAGATAAAAGAACACTGGGCTTAAACCGAAAGAATATACACATATCTTAGTCTTTTGAAACGGCATTAAACCTACTGTTACGCCACAGAGCAGCATGTGTGCAACAGCAGCCAAAGCTGACCAGCAAATAGTTAACAAGGAACTGAAACGATAATCACAGTAACATCAGAACTGTATGAGAAGGAGAGGCCGAGGGACAAGGACACAAATAACTGACCGTCATAACCTCACAATACATTGATTGAATCTATTTGATAGTACTTCTGCAATAAAGCAAGTTTTTTTTTTAGATTTGCTGAGATATAATATCTATGAATTCCTTTGTAGGTAGAAGGCTAACAATTTGGCCAAAATCAATTTCTGATGTTATGTTATTTTTTGTTATTATAATTGATTCCCCTTTAATGCCACGTAAACTACGGCATATAATAATACGAATAACTGAACTAAGACGCAGAGCTGAACTGCCTCTTAGACCCCATTTACATGCAAATGCAAACGCATACGAAACGCAAACGAACCGAATACGATATCAAAAAAGTATTCCGTTCACACGAGACCGCTCGGGAGCGCTGGAGACGCTGTAGTACATATGCCGGGCCTGTAAGTGGCGCTGTACACAAAATACACCAAAAGCAGCGAAGAAGACCCCCGAGCATGGTTGCCATGGTTGCCCTTTTGTTTATGCCCCGCGGTGGATTTAGCAACATGTAGTTCATGTAATTCTCCATGTCCACTTGTTGCTGATGGTTGTGGTAGAGGAGCTGTAGATTTTGCACTAACATCTGTAGCATGGTCAGTAGCAGTAGCAGTAGCAGTAGCTACTGACAGTAGCTACTGAACATGCTACAGCAGAGAGCAGCAGAGATGGGGAGAGGCGGGGCTATGGCTACATCGTTATCAGGAAATGATCGTATAGGACGTACACACAGAGCGTTCCGTTTGCAGATCTATCCACCTTGGGACCCGTTATCGTTTGCAGGGTCCGTTTCTGCGTTTCCGTTACGGCCTCGTGTGAACAAACGGGCTATACGAAAGAGAAAAGTAGCGGATACAACCGTTTGCGTTCTTGTGTAAACAGCACATTAGTGCCTGTGCCGTCACATTGAGTAAATAGTGCTGGAAGATGGAAGCGATTCATTTTCCAATTTTAAATAATCATAAGTGAGCAGAACGTGGTAATAGTCATGTCCAGCCTGTGTCTTCATCTCTGAATCAGCAGCTGAGTATGCAAGATACTGCCAGCACAATAAAAATGACATGAACGCCGACCATAATGACATACCATGGAGACATTACAGCATTTACATGTGGGCTTTCACAAGTTGCATTGTATTACCTCATTTACTGTTAAGGTCAGACTGAAGGTCGTCGTGTAGTGAAAGGACAGGTTAAGTCGGTCCTCATCAGAATCTTCAAGCTGTGGCCAGGCAACAGCACATTTTCAATTTTCTCACCGCTAAATTATTAAAATAGCACTCGATTACTTATGATAATAACTTACAGAATGGCTTTCATCACATTCAAATATTAAGAGTAATCTCTGGCCTTAATGACTCAGACGGGTGGTGCCCTGTGTGCCAAAGCTTGGCGTGGATAATTAATCTAATTTTAGCGTGTGAGTGAGAAGTAGTGGACAGCGCTGACATCTTCCCTTAGTGAGGGTGTTGACGGCTGCGTCAGTTTGAAATATTGTTTCACTGGTCACTGTCCCTCACTCACTCCTCTATCTTACCCTTCTCCTTCCCTCGCTCGGCCTCTCCTATCATAATATTCTTGCACCTGTGTTTCCTGCCATGATCTGATACCTGTATCTAGAGAAGCACCTGTGATAATGAAATTATCTTTAATTCATCTCTGTTTCTCTCTCTCTCCAGCAGTGGATGCGGTGCCGGTACAGAAAGATGGGGATCAGGTAAAAATTGTATTATCTTTTTTTTCTTCCTATTTTCTCATTTCTGCACATCTCAATCTTTTTTCCCATTTTGTTGAAAGCCACTGTGACATAATTGAAAACACAGCAGGGCTGGTGTCCTCAGCTCTCCTCTTTACGTCGGAACAGACCGCAGACAGAGAAATGGCGATGTGTGATTGTGTTTTTTTTGTCGCCTCAAATCTGTATGGAGGTGATAAAAAGCAGAGCTGTTACTCACCCAGAATGCCCTCCTGCTGTTTGACGGCCAGGCCTCTGCCTCATGAAAGGTCGCCCAGATCTAAACTCTGGAAAATAATACATTATTCACTTTGTATTATTTTATTTTTCACAGACAGTGTGTGCAGGTGTGTATCGTTTTACTGCAGTACAGTACAGAAAATATACAAACAGTGAGAGGGTTTCATTGTTTTGCCTCTGCCCTTCAATTCCACCAATTTGCTAAATCAAAGTCTGTTTAAAAGTACTCCTGCACATGTGAAGACAAGTATTAAAACGCCTTCCATGTCTCCAGAGGTGGCTGTGTGATTATATATTGATATCTATTTAATATATAATATGATAAATTGCGTTATGTGACATGACATGAGTCAGCGTCGTTTAAGGGTGAAGAAGACAAATTCTAAATTGAGAGAAATCTATGGTTGTGGACAGCGGGTGTACGGATCAGGAGTGGTTGGCACACACACTATAACCACAATGTCCCCGAGTCGATCTATCACGCCACATCCGTCTCTCTAGAGCCTTGTGTCTAATTTGCCTTTATCCGACGAACTGTCCAATAACATACAAAGCCAGTTTATGTGAATGTGGCCTAGCCAGGCACGTGCACACATAGACATCAAAGTGGGCTTGAGCCCCTGCCCTTTTTCTTCCTCCAGAGAAAGTGCCCTTTTTAAAATTGTTATAAATGAATATATATCTACTGCTGTTTGCGCACAGTTTCCCTTTACAAAAATATATTGATTGAATACAAAATAAAAATATCAGGTCGGGAGATTAGACTCTGATGTTCCGATGCTCTCTCTACCCTCCCTCCCTCCACGTCTCGCGCACAGCGGTGCGGACATCGGCAGTCACTTCAGACAGACAGGTAGCAGCACCTCCCACTTTACTGTCCCATGTTATGCCGGCTTTTCTTGGCTTATTTTGAAGGTGAGTGGTGATGAACAAATGACTAAGCTTCCAGTGCCTCGAGTTTACAGCTAATTAGCCAAAAGACAAAAACAAATATAGTTAACTAAGGTAGGCTACTAGCTAATGGATAAGTTAGCTCAAGGTTTAGCTAAGGCAATTTATCATGGGCATACAGGCTAATGTACTGTACTTAAGGGGAGAGACTAAGGCCCCGGCTCCACGAGGACGAAAACGGGTTGAATCCGCATATTTCTCATGCGTATAGCCCTCTAAGCTCGACGACGCCGTAAGGGAAACGTAGAAACAGACCCCGCAAACGACAACGGGTCCAAAGGTGGATAGATCTGGGAACGGAGCGCTCTGGGGGGTCCAACGGGGCCGTGGAGTCGCCTATACGGTCATTCGTTTTCATAGCCCCGTCTCTCCCTGCCTCTCCCCCGCAGGGTTGCTATCGTGCTCCAGTCGCTACTGACCATGCTACAGTTCTTTGTGCAACATCTACAGGAGCTCCTCCTTGAATTCAGATTATTTATCTTTATCTCGATATGGACATAAACGCGAGTGAAGTCTAATCTGACAGGACGGAGACACGCAGCTCCTCCCGCTGTGATGCAGCGGGAGCAAAACACACACTTCAAGTCAGATCATCACCCTTAGCTATTTTAATTACCTCTCAAACTACCTAAACTAGTTATAAATATGTTCATTTTTACTGTCGGGTCACTCATTACAGGATCAGCTGCTGCATGAGACAGACACTGACGCTGTCAGAAGAGAGGAAAAAGAGATGTATTTGATGATTATATATCATTATATCGTCATTATTCATTTGTTTTAAAGCTCAATAAATAACAATGAAGACCTTTGACTGGCACTTTTATCATTTTGTCCGGAAGATTTAAACTTTAACACACGCTGACCGGCGAAAAACTCTGCCCGGTTCTGTCGGCCCCCACCGCGGAGAATACACAGAAGTGCAGCCATGACAACCATTCTTCTTCGCTGCTTTTGTGGAGGAAGTTGCTGCTTTTGTGGAGGAAGTTACAGCGCCACGTACAGGTTCGGCATATGTACTGCAGCTTTTCCAGCGTTTGGATGTAAACGGAGCCGTCTCGTGGAGCTTGACACAATCCGGTGTATATTGCGTGGGGACGGAAGGTTTTTTGCGGTTGCATTTGCGTTACTCCGATGCGTTTTGCCGTATTTCTCCTCGTGGAGCCGGGGCCTCAAGGTGAATACAGTAAAATGTGTATCTAATAACGTCATCACAATCGCCACATTGATATGCAAATGAGGCGTTAACTAGGCCTAATTAAAATGCGCTAATTTGCATGCAGTTACCAAAGCATTGCAGGTGAAAAGGATAAAACAAAAAACAAACAAAAAAACATATCACGTCACAACTTCCCCAGATAGTTACTTACGTCAAGTCAGTATTTTCCCCTGAAATGTAATGTTTAAATGCAGATTAGCTTTGAATCTATAGATGAATTCAGACATGGTAGTAAGGCAAGGCAAGTTTATTTATATAGCACCTTTCAACACAAGGCCATTCAAAGTGCTTTACAAAAATGAAAGACATTAAGAAAATGGCATTTAAAAACAGTCATTAAAAAGAAAAGATAATAAAATAAACATTAAAAGAAAAAATACATGAATAAAAGTTACAGTGCAGTTTAAGATATGAATAGTTCAATTAAAAGCAGCGGCAAAAAGAAAAGTCTTCAGCCTGGATTTAAAAGTAAAACGAACACCATATGTGTTTTTGGAAGTTTTCTTTCCATTAGAGTGAAAGAAAACATGGAAGCAAAATAGACCAAAAATAACAACATTTACAAGAACATGAAAAAACGATATTTTTGCCTGTAATGTCCTTAAACAGTAACTTCATAATTTTGATTGTTGGCTGCTCATTTAATAACTATTGATTTTACTAGTTTGTTGTCTGCTCTTGTGCGTAGTGAATACTAAAGAAGACTGTCTCTGTGTTAGCTGATTATTTTGTAGAGTTCTGTTGAGTATTAAACAATTGCGTGAGTGTGAGGGTATTAAAATACATTGGTCAGTAAGTCAGAGATGTGCAGCTATATTTAACTTTTTGTTTTAAAACATTTTTTTATAAATGATTATGGGAAGTGCCCTTTGTCTCACTTGAGCTCCCTCCCCCTAAAATGTCTGTGCACGTCCCTGGGCCTAATGTATTAGCCTTGTTGCCTCACAACAGGACACTCCTGGGTGTGAATCCTTCATCTAGCTGGACTTTCATTTTTCATGTCAGAGGCAGATGATTAATTATTATTCATCATCATTGAGTAATTATCAAAACAGTTGATCGTTTTCTGTAGCTCAATAAACTGATAAGGGTGTATTTGCTGAGTTATTCTTATCTTAAGAAGCAGTAATGTATCACATATTAACCTTCCTTTCCTACTAAATGAGTATGGTGGATAACCATTCAAAAGTTGTATTGTCCCATGAAAATGTAAATGCTTTTTTGGAGGACTTTTAAACCACATAGCAGAATGTTATTTACAAATGCTGAATATGTCTCAATATCCTCTCAAATCTTATATCTGTATCAGGCTTCAGAAAGGTTATATTAGCCAAACCTGTGTGTGTCTGTGTGTATGCCTGCACTCTCATGAATGTGTGTGTGTGTGTGGTGTGTGTGTGTGTGTGTGTGTGTGTGTGTGTGTGTGTGTGTGTGTGTGTGGTTGTGCATGTCTGTGTGTGTGTGGTTGTGTGTGTCTGTGTGTGTGTGTGGTTGTGCGTGTCTGTGTGTGTGTGTGTGGTTGTGCGTGTGTGTGTGTGTGTGTGTGTGTTGATAGTCTCTTACCAAGGCCACAGAGCTGCTCTCCCCAGGGCTCAGACTATTACTGAGCCATGTATCACTTCTCAGCTGTGGGCCCTGGGGAGAGAGAGGGAGAAAGACACAAACACAGACATCCATCTTATTGTCTCTCCATCACTGGCGGCTGCTTTCTGTTCTTTAGTCATTTTTCCTCATACACAAGGGTTGGAAGGCCAACATGCACCTGTCATTTTATAACTTATAGATATTATTAAGGTATATTTGTTGAAATGACTGCTAAGTTAATTACAATTTATAAGTTAAACAGCAAGATGGAAATTACATGTCGTATATATCCCACTGATTTCTGTCCGCTTCCCTCCTGCCTGGAGAAAACAGGAGGGGATTTATATGAATATTGCTTATATTTCTGGTTCCGTGTTTGCATTCGGTGGGCACGGCATCATTAGTGGAATTTTTTATTTTTATTGAGTGTTGCTCCTCTTGAGTTCTGATCCCATGGCAGCCCTCAAGTTGTTTACTTCCACAAACACGACTCCTCTGCGTAATTTATAGACCTCCAGAGAGGGAGGCCTGCAGGTGGAGAGGGATAAAAAATATATATATATAATACAGAAGCTCAGGGATGATTTAGACTCAAATGGGGGGCTAAGGACCATGTGCGACAAACAAAACCAAAACTGACAGACAAAGTAAATACTCTCCAGCCAGATTCAGAAATGCAAACACACTAATTATAAAAGTTGAATGAAAAAATTACAGGCTGTGAGAAAACACAGAGAGATCTAAACATCAAATAGAGTTAACAAAATAGTACAATTTAAGAAATCTAATCTTCAGAAAATACCTAAAAGATAAGGCTAAGTGTCTTAATTCATGCTAACCAACTGTGCTTTGAGCTAAATGCTACATAGGCATGCTAACATTCTCAAATGTACAATGCTAACATGCTTTTTCTTAGCAGGAATAATTGTTTACCATAGTCCTCGTCTTAGTTTAGAGTGTAAGCATGCTAATGGTTGCTAATTAGCAC